TATATATATATATATATATATATACATATATATATATATATATATACATATATATATACCCAAGGGCTAATATATTAAAGAATAAAATGTACAGATAGGTTGCATGAGTTGACCTAAAAGAAGGGTCGACTCACATAATATAACACACACAAAAACCCAAAGAGGAAAAGATACATAAAGTTAAAAAAAACTAAAAATCCACCAGCAGATGCAAAAGTGCTAGGGACGTCCCACTTTAGTTCTTCCTTTGTCTCTAAATCTCGGAAGGGAGCTAGCTAACAAATAGGTAATTTGCATATAATTACCTGAAGTAACCAAAGTATCATCCATCAGATTTCTGAGCTCAAGTATGTCTCCGTTCTTCTTCTTCTTCTTGGATGTGTAGACCTGACCTTCCTCATCGAGGATTGACTCATTTGATTAATGAATTGGTATAAAGGTGGCCGGACAAGTATAGGACGTTGCACATCATGATCTCCTTGAGTCTGAGTAGCATTGACATCTTTCTGGACATGATGAGGCGGTAATATCATACAGTGAGTGTGGGCAAACTCTTAATATTTTTATAACGTATTAAAAAAATTGAGGGAGGCCCTCCCTCACTATAGGGCTGTTCTGACCATGGTTAGAAATTTACTACATACTTGCTTGGTGATTGTTTTTTGCTGCCTGGTAGAGTTTCTTTGTCTGATCAAAATTTTGTGGTAAACATTTTAAAGTTTTTATCTATAAATGCTGAAAATTTCATGTTCTTTGTGAACATGTTCTCCTAGGATGATGATAGATACTTGTACTGAGGAAAGAACTTTGATGCACTCGATTAATTCCGTATACAATCTGTTATTTAGGTTGTTTTGTCTTTCAGGTAGGCTGAATCTTCTTTATCGTGTTTTTGATGCCTAATTAAAAAAAGAAAAAAAACGCTGTAACATGTGTATGGCAGTCCATTCCCTACCATAACTTATCCCATCTCCTCCCTTATTAGGCAAAGGTTTAATATTTTAGATATGCCGTGTTCTATTGTTGTTGATGCAATTAATCTGAAATTCCTTCTTATTCTAATCTATTTTAGGGTTTTCACGTGCGTTGCTTTCCATATGCAATAACTTCTGATCTGAAGCGTAAATGTCAGTTCTCATTTGGCGGGACTATGAGGTGCTGCTGCTACTACTTTATTTGTGTCACAGAAGTAAAAGCCTTTTACTTTCAAATGATAATGATGCTTTTCACAGGTTCTGCAACCTTGTATTTTTAAGATTTTTAAATCGGCATTTTCAATCAAATCGCATGTCTACTCAGAAGTTTCTATATGGAGCAACCGGGCTTAGGGAAGCATGGAATTCAGACAGGCTGAAATTGCTGAAAATGGTACTGTCTTTTGCACTTGTTCAACTTAAAACTACATAGATTTTTGTGTTTTTGTATGGCACTATTATGTAAGGGTTCCATATTTTCCAGTTGTGACAATTTCTTTCCCATACTGCTGCAACGTACTCATGCTTACGTGAGGTATATTTCCTCTTTTAGCTTCTTATTTAAGAAAATGACTGCCACCATATTTATGCATGAGGAGCAATGAAGAGTTCCTTGCTTTAGTGGAATAGAATTACAGTTCTTTTATGATGCTAGATGTTTAAGGTTTGTGGGTTCTTAATGCGATTGAAACGATGCACTGACTATGAATCACATAAAAAAATAAGGATTTGCATATCAAAGATCACTTTTGATTGTGGAATCCTGAAAAAATTTTTTTTCTCGCTTACATTGTTGCATTACACTTTTCTACATATATATATATATATA